GCAAGGAATGTTTTTCCATTTATTGAAATCTTCTTCGATCTCTTTTTTTAGAGTACTGTAGTTTTCATTAAAGAGATCTTTGACTTCTTTTGTTAAAAAACAGTGGTTAGATGCCACGAAGTAGGTGGCAATGCCTTAACCGTATGCGTGTTGTCAGGCCCAAGGGCCTCTTCCATCCTTGTCAAGGGGAGTGCTAACCTTCTCTCCTTTCATACAACACTTAAATTAATTTTTAAAAACAATTTTGAGTGCTTTTAATAAAACAGAGAACTGAAATGCTACTGCAATATTCAGCTACTGTAGTTTCAGCAGGTACAACAAAAACATGAAATATTTTGAAAAAAATTATCCAAGTATACATATAAGGAAGCTTTCCAAGGAAAAGCAGGAACATTCTGAGTCAGTAACAGACCTGGATGGACAAAGGGCTAGATCATCTCTGTGGGATGAAGATTCAAACCTCCAAACACTGATTTAAAGACTTAATGAAATTCCAGTGGAACTCCTAGTAAGTTTTTCAGAGAAATTCACAAGCTAATTAAAAAATTTAAATAGAAACTCAAAGATCATAGAACAACCTAACAAATTTGAAAGAGAACACAGCTGGAGGCTTGCTGTCTGACTTTAACATTTACTATACAGCGGCAGCAATCAAGTCAACGTGGAACTGTCAAAAGCTTAGACATACGGATCAACAGCAGAGAACACAGAGCCCAGAACTAACCCTCCACACTAACTGAGTTTTGACGGTGGTGTTTTCAACAAAGTCTCTGAAAAAAGTGAACATCCACATGTAAACAACAAAACCTACTTTTACCTTCTACTACACGCAATCGAGAACTAAAAATTTCAATCTGACTTCTTACGTTACTACTTAAATATTAATCTGAAATGGATCACACGCCTAAATGCAAAAGCTTAAGCCAATCAAGGTGCTAGAAGAAAACACAGGGGAAATCCTGCATTGTCAGAGTAGGCATAAATACCTTAAGATATGAAGGCATGGACCACAAAAACTGGAAGAAGTAAATTTCGTCAAAATTTTCTGATTTTTAGAATGGTAGCACCTTTTGCTAACAATCACAAATCAGAAACAACTCAAAAACCCATCAGCTAATGAACAGAAAAATAACACATTCATAAATGGAATACTCTTCAACAACAAAAAACTAAACTACTGACATCCATGCAACAGCAAGGATAAATTACAAGATCATGCTACATAAAAAAGCCAGACAGAAAAATGATATGATATGATTAGTTTTATATGATCCTCTAGGGAAAAGGAAACTAATCTCTACTGACAGAAAGAAGATTTTAGGTGCTTAGGCCAGGAAATGATTTTAGGTGCTTAGGCCAGGAAATGATTTTGGGTAATGGAAATGTTTTATAGTTAATTTGATGGTGGTTACACAAGTGTACATATTTGTAGAAATTAACTAAAATAATACACTTACAATTGGTACATCTTAGTGTATATAAATTAATTCATTAAAGTTGATACAATAATTTCATAAGGTGCAACTAACATACCAAGTGATAACTTGCATATAAGTATCCTTAGCACAGTAATTTAGAACAAACCCCTGACAAAGTATAGTTGATTTACAAGTTTAATTTTATACACTAAAGAGCATAGCTACTTCTTTAACACTAGCTAACACAAGTCAATATATGTGAAGGTATGACTGAAAAATACAGCACATGTTTAAATTTTTAAAATTTATATGGAAGATGCATTGCCATTCGGGGTCTCAAAGCACCAGCCCTCCATGTCAAACACACTCATCCCATCATTCCTATCAATCTCTGCAGCAGCTCTGGAGTCCTCTGTCCTAAGTGTCTTTAGTTACACTGTCATAGCTGCCTGGATGCCCTCGAATGATCAAAACATCCACCTTTCATGGTCATTTTAACTTTGGGGAAGAGCCAGAAGTCACAAGGAAGGCGAAAAAGGGCACACCATGA